GGAATCATCAGAAAAGGACTACCATTTGAGGCACCACAATGTGTGTTGGCCAGGGTCATATATTAGAGGAGACAGGCTGCTTGCCTTTCTGCAATTGTATAGATATTGAGAATATATTCCAGGGACTGTTTTCTCTAATGGAGAATAATTTATGGGGGAAAATAGAATTTTGATAGGAAGACAAGAGGAGCCACCGTTTGGTTTAGGGAGCTGGACCCTATAACCCATATAACCCAGATTATCAAATCAGATAATCCACATTATTTGCTTTGAACTGGATTACATGACTCCAGACTTCCATATAATCCAGTTCAAAGCAGATACTATGGATTTTATATGGCAGTGTAGAAGGGACCGGAGTTGGTTGGATAATCTAGTATCACAGGGCCCTTCCACACAGTCATATATTCCAGAATATCAAGGCAGAAAATCCCACAATATCTGCTTTGAACTGGGATATCTGAGGGCCCTTCCACACAGTCATATAACCAAGAATATCAAGACAGATAATCTATATAAATAAAAATGTAATGTTCGTTTGTGGGATTAACATAACTCAAAAACCACTGGACGAATTGACACCAAATTTGGACACAATACACCTCTCAGGCCAATGAGTGACCATCACTCACAAAAACGCTAAAGAACACAGCAGAAGAGAGTTAAAAGGCCAAAAATCAAATAATACATTACAATGCATGCGCAAAACCACATCTATATACACAAAGACATATATACACAAATATATACACACATATATACACACACAAAACACAAATACACAGACTGGGCCACAGAGACGCGTGGCAAGGGACGGCTAGTCCACAATATCTGCTTTGAACTGGATTATCTGAGGGCCCTTCCACACAGCCCTATATCCCAGAATATTAAGGCAGAAAATCCTACAACATCTGCTTTGAACTGGGTCCACACTTAGATAATGTGGGATTTTCTGTCTTGATATTCTGAGATGTAGGGCTGTGTGGAAGGGCCCTGGGTCCACACTGCCATATATCCCAGTTCAAAGCAGAAAATGTGGGATTTTATTCAGCTGTGTGGAAGGGGGCCGAGTCCATACTGCCATATATTGTGGTTCAAAGCATATAATGTGGGATTTTGGGTTCTTGTAGGATTTTCGGGCTATATGGCCATGTTCTAGAAATATTCTCTCCTGACGTTTCACCTGCATCTACGGCAAGCATCCTCAGAGGTTGTGAGGTCCACACAACCTCTGGGGATACCTGCCATAGATGTAGGCGAAACATCAGGAGAGAATGCTTCTAGAACATGGCCAAATAGCCCGAAAAACCTACAACAACCCAGTGATTCCAGCCATGGAAGCCTTCAACAATACAATGTGAGATTTCATTCAGGGCCACATTTTAAATGGAGAGGGATAAAAATAGCCCACCCACTTCCATCAATGTTTTAATGACTATTTTTCACCAGTGAGTGAACAACACTTAGAGTGTAAATAAGTAACTACACAGGGTCCTAAAAACAAACCAGGATAAGACAAAAGCCAGGGGAGGGAAGAAGGAGAGTGTGAATCCCTCACTTCTTTAAAACCCTCCTACCAGATATATCCTACCTTGTTCATGCACAGCATTTATTTTTAAATTTTTAAATTATTACATTTGGCCTGGCCATAGGTTTTTTAAATCCTCGTGTGTTATTGTTATATGTGATTTATATTAATTTGTATTGCATTGTATTGTTTTGTTTATTGCTTTTCTGTTTTATTGATGTGTTGTTGGGCTTGGCCTAATGTAAGCCGCTCTGAGTCCTTTGGGGAGATGGTGGCGAGGTATAAATAAAGTATTATTATTATTATTACTAGCCATCCCCTGCCACACGTTGCTGTGGCCCAGTCTGATGATCTGGAAAATAAAGGAATGAGAAAGTCTTGGTTTCTAATATATGTAATTTCTTTATGCTTTTGGGAAAACAGTATTTCTTGCTCTTTCTTTGTCGGTGTTGATGTGGAGAGATGTCTGGTTTGGCTACCCTGGAACAGGCAACATATCATTGTCCTTCTTTAAGGGTCCCTTTCAAATCTATGGTACTATATCTGTCATAAACATGTGTGTTTGTGAATCATATATGTTTATCTATATCTATGGCTGGATGGCTCTTTGTCAGGAGGGCTCTATATTTTCTTACTCTGGTGAAGGGAGTTGGACTGGATGGCCCTAAGGTAGCATTTCTCAACTTGGGGTTTGGGACCCCTGGGGACGGGTTGCGAGGGGGTGTCACAAGGGTCACCAAAGACCACCAGAAAACACAGTATTTTCTGTGTATTGTCGAAGGCTTTCATGGCCAGAATCAGTGGGTTGTTGTAGGCTTTTCCAGGCTATATGGCCATGTTCTAGAAGCATTTTCTCCTGACGTTTCACCTGCATCTATGGCAAGCATCCTCAGAGGTCTGTTGGAAGTAGGAAAATGGGTTTATATATCTGTGGAATGACCAGGGTGGGACAAAGGACTTTTGTCTGCTGGAGCTAGGTGTGAATGTTTCAACTGACCACCTTCATTCCACAGATATATAAACCCATTTTCCTACTTCCAGCAGACCTCACTACCTCTGAGGATGCTTGCCATAGATGCAGGCGAAACAGGAGAAAATGCCTCTAGAACATGGCCATATAGCCCGGAAAAACCTACAACAACACATTTGTTGTCATCATGAGGGTTCTGTGTGGGAAGTTTGCCCCAATTTCGTCGGTGGGGTTCAAAATGCTCCCCAAAACTCTGTGTTTATATTTGGGCATATTGAGTATTCATGCCAAGTTTGGTCCAGATCCATCCTTGTTTGAGTCCACAGTGCTCTCTCGATGTAGGTGAACTACAACTCCAAAACCAAAGGACACTGCCCACCAAACCCTTCCAGTATTTTCTGTTGGTCATGGGAGAACTGTGTGCCAAGCTTGGTTCAATTCCATCGTTGGTGGGGTTCAGAATGCTCTTTGATTGTAGGTGAACTATAAATCCCAGCAACTACAACTCCCAAATGACAAAATCATTTTTTTTAGTGAAGGATAATCATTGGGTTGTTAGGTGTGCTGTGTCCAAATTTGGTGTCAGTTCGTCTAGTGGTTTTGGAGTTATGTTAATCCCACAAACAAACATTACGGTGGACTATAAATCCCAGCAACTACAACTCTCAAATGATAAAATCAATTATTTTGAGTGAAGGACAATCATTGGGTTGTTAGGTGTACTGTGTCCAAATTTGGTGTCAGTTCATCCAGTGGTTTTGGAGTTATGTTAATCCCACAAACAAACATTACGGTGAACTATAAATCCCAGCAACTACAACTCCCAAATGACAAAATCATTTTTTTTAGTGAAGGACATACATTGGGTTGTTAGGTGTAATGTGTCCAAATTTGGTGTCAGTTCGTCCAGTGGTTTTGGAGTTATGTTAATCCCACAAACAAACATTACGGTGAACTATAAATCCCAGCAACTACAACTCTCAAATGATAAAATCATTTTTTTTTAGTGAAGGACATACATTGGGTTGTTAGGTGTACTGTGTCCAAATTTGGTGTCAGTTCGTCCAGTGGTTTTGGAGTTATGTTAATCCCACAAACAAACATTGCATTTTTATATATATAGATTATTATGATCAAAACCAGGAAGCAACACAGAGGAGGAGGAGGAAAAAAAGGTGTAAGCAAACTGGCTTTCTCATCATTACATCTGTTCTTTCATTCATAGCTTCAGCTTCCTTTCCTTCGACAAACATCGCGACAGGCGACCAGAAATATTTCCAGGCTCTTTCCAAGCCCCTTTCCCACAAGATCCTTCAAACCCTTTACACAAAAAAGCCCAGATTTGGAGACCAGCAGCCTCTTTCCAAGCCCCTTCCCAACAAAATCCCTCACACAGAATCCTGTCCAGATTTGGAGACCGCCAACGTTGTCAACCCCCTTTTCCTTTCCCCGCCTCCGAAAGGGGAGAATAATAATAATAATAGTCCAATTCCCATGTGATTTGGGGAATGACAGGAGCGCACACACAAGCTCTAGATTTCCCAAGATCAAATTATATTAACCCCTTCCAGCCTGGGTCCCAAGAAAGAAAGAAAGTCCATGCAAAATCCTGCTTGCAATTCCAACGCCAGGCAAAACAAAACAATGCATTTCTCTTCTTCCTCCCTAAAGAAATACATCATTTTCTAGACACACACACACACCCTGCGGCCATATTCTCTGGATCCCCTTCTGTGAAAAGAGGGTTGCAATTCCCATCATTCCCTGTTTATTTTCCCTACATCCAAGCATCTCTGGGGCCTGTGCGCCCTGGGAAGAATTACGCACGCGTTTTTACGCACCAAAACATCTTGGCAATTGGATCGCTTTAGAACCATTAATAACCACACAAAATCGAACCATCATCCTCTTTTCTTTCAGAGACAGCATAAGAGATGCTGGCTGTCAAAAAATATAAACCTCCAAACCCTCTGGATTGTCCAAATCGCTTTATTTCCAATGCGCCCCCCGTTTCTTTCCAAACAGTCCACCTTTGCGCATTAAAGCGTTCCCAAAAATTGTTGCAAAACAAAGAGGCCAAAATACACAAACAGATACACAGTATCTCCCCAGTTACAAAGTATGTATATATAGAGAGGTTAAAACGTGGGGAATTTGGAAGGAAAGGAAGGTTGCAAGATGGGGTGCTTTGGGGGTCCTTTTTTGGAGAGGTGCTGGAGAGTGGAAACACCTCTCCAAAAAGAGATTTGGAGGCACTGTGAAAGAGAGAAGGGAGGGAAAGGGAAAAAGAATAGAGAGAGAAAGGATCGGCCATCTTGAAAGCAATATACACTACAGCGAGGCTGGGGGAGGGGGGGGAGGGAAGAAAAAGCAGAAGGAGGGAAGGAAGGAAGAAAGAAAGGAAAGAAGGAGAACCCAAGCAAGGCGGGAGGCGCTCTCCAAAGCCATCGTTTTCCCTTTTGGAGAAGGAAAGGGGGGGGACACACAATGAAGGAGCCCTACCTGATCCCGGATCCTTTCTAGGGGCCCCCAAAGCAGCCAAAGCCGGGGCAGAAAGGGGGTTTGCGGGGATCCACACCCCCTTCTGCAAATCGGATTGTAATTTTGGGGGAAATCTCTCCTCTTGAGACGCAAACGTTCCTCCTCTGTCTGCCAAACTGGAGAAAAGAAGCCCAGGGCCGGGAGAGCGACAAAATGGCCCTTCCCCCCCTCCTTTTCCCCGCCCCTTTGGGGGCCTCACGTGATCCTGTCTCTGTCGGGTGTTTGCCAAAGAGAGGAGCCCCCCTTTTTCAAAATCCTAATCACCCTAATACTGCTAAATGTCGGGGAGAGGGAAGGGCGGCAGTGGAATATAGTTTGGCGGGTGCAAAAATGGGTGGCAGCCTTTTTTTCCAAACCAGACACCCATGCAGGATGCAGACAATACCCAAACAACTCACCCTCCTTCCTTCTCTCCATCCATCAGGCAAAATGATATATAGCTCGGCTGGGAAAGGCTGAAAAAGGGAAGCCACTTCGGTTGGCTTTGGTGGGAGCAAGAAAGAACAAAAGGAGACGGCTTTGGGGTCCCTCATTTGGGGTCTTTGAGAGGGAGGGAAGGCTGGGAAAGACACAAAGCAAAAGTTTGGACCACATCCGCAAAGCCCCAAAGCCGACAATTTGGCTGGCTCTACACTGGCCATAGAAATGCACTATTTATTTGGCAATTTAGGCTCCTTATAAGGTAAAGGTAAAGACCTGAAAACACAAGAAAAGTTGGGTAATACATTATTATTATTATTTTGGCAATTTAAGTCCCTTATAAGGTAAAAGTAACCTGAAAACACAAGAAGAGTTGGGTAATACATCATCATCATCATCATCATCATCATTATTATTATTATTATTATTATTATTATTATTATGGCAATTTAGGCCCTTTATAAGGTAAAGGTAAAGACCTGAAAACACAAGAAGAGTTGGGTAATACATTATTATTATTATTATTATTATTATTATTATTATTATTATCTATTTGGCAATTTAGGTCCCTTATAAGTTAAAGGTAAAGACCTGAAATCACAATAAGAGTTGGGTAATACGTTATATTTCTCCTCCTCCTCCTCCTCCTCCTCCTTCTTCTTCTTCTTCTTATTATTATTATTATCTATTTGGCAATTTAGGCCCCTTATAAGGTAAAGATAGAGACCTGAAACCACAAGAACAGTTGGGTAATACATTATTATTATTATTATTATTATTATTATTATTATTATTATTATTATTATTATCTATTTGGCAATTTAGGCCCTTTAAAAGGTAAAGGCCTTAAACCACAAGAAGAGTTGGGTAATACATCATCATCATCATCATCATCATCATCATCATTATTATTATTATTATTATTATTATTATTATCTATTTGGCAATTTAGGCCCCTTATAAGGTAAAGGTAAAAACCTGAAACCACAAGAAGACTTGGGTAATACATTATATTATTAATTATTATTAATATTATTATCTATTTGGCAATTTAGGCCCCTTATAAGGTAAAGGAAAAGACCTGAAACCACAAGAAGAGTTAGGTAATACATTCGATTTATTATTATTATTATTATTATTATTATTATTATTATTATTATTATTATTATTATTATTATTTAGAGAAATAGATAATAATAATAATAATAATAATAATAATAATAATAATAATAGTAATAGTAATAATGTATTATTATTGTGAGGTCTATTTCCAACAGACCTCACAACCTCTGAGGATGCCTGCTATAGCTGCAGGTGAAAAGTCAGGAGAGAATGCTTCTGGAACATGGCCATACAACCTGGATAACTCACAGCAGACCAACGACAACAAAATACGTTGTGGGAGGCTTTCATGGTGGGAATCACTGGGTTGCTGTGAGTTTTCCAGGCTGTATGCCCATGTTCCAGTAACATTCTCTCCTGACGTTTCCCCCACATCTATGGCAGGCATCCTCAGAGGTGTGAGGTCTGTTGGAAATAGACCTAATAATAATAATACATTATTATTAGTAGTAGTATTACTTGCCTGGTTTCCAAAAACAACCTCCTCCTCCTTATTCTTATTCTTATTATCATCTACCATTTAGATAAATAGATAATAATAATAATAATAATAATAATAATAATAATAATAATAATAATAATGTTTTTGGAAACTAGGCAAGTGGAGGTTATATATTTGTGGAATGTCCTTGGTGGAAGAAAGAACTCTAGACAAGACTTCACAACCCCTGAGGATGCCTGCCATAGATGTGGGAGAAACATCAGGAGAGAATGCTTCTAGAATATAGCCATAAAGCCCGGAAAACGCAGAGCAACCCAATAACGTAATGTATTACCTACATTTCCTTATGACTTTAGTTCTTTGCTATATAAGAAGGGCCCTAAATTGCCAAATAGTGTATTTATATTGTCATAGATCATAGAATCATAGAGTTGGAAGAGACCTCTTGGGCCATCTAGTCCAACCCCCTGCCAAGAAGCAGGAAAATCACGTAGTAGATCCTGCCAAATAGTCGGGTTTGGGGCTTAGTGGTTGTGGCAAATGCTAGGTTTGCGTGAAGCCCAAAGGAGTGGATCCACGACAAATCGCATAGGATATTATTATTATTAATAATAATTAATTAATTAATTATTCTGCTATAGCTCCCACAGTTCAAGTGCTGTCAAACTGCATGAATTCTACAATTTTAGATGCACTCCAGAAGGGACACTTTCCCAAATCGATCTAATTCCACTACATACAAAGTTTTGCCCCAGATGCTGACTGAGCCCCCTTCCACACAGCTGTATTAAATCCACATTGAACTGGATTATATGGCAGTGTGGACACAGATCATCCAGTTCAAAGCAGACATTGTGGATTATCTGCCTTAATCTTCTGCGTTATATGGATGTGTGGAAGGAATCTGAGACCATTTCTACACTGCCATGTAAAATCCATATCATATGCTTGGATAATCCGGATTATATGGCAGTGTAGAAGGGGTTATAGACCCAGCCTTCATTTTGGAGACGATGACAAGGGGGCTACAATGCGAGAAGTCGCCACTAAGGTTGGATCTACCATATCAAATCCAGATTATCTGCTCTGATCTGTGTGGACTCACATCCAGTTCAAAGCAAATAATGTGGATGATCTGCTTTGACAATCTGGATTATATGGCTGGTGTAGATCCAGCCCTACAGGCATTGCTATCCTTGAGCCTCCTTGGGTGCATCTAATAATTCGTTTTTGGAAACTAGGCAAGTGGGGTTTATATATTTGTGGAATGTCCATGGAGGGAGAAAGAACTCTAGACAAGACTTCAAAACCTCTGAGGATGCCTGCCATAGATGTGGGCAAAACGTCAGGAGAGAATGCTTCTGGAACATAGCCATACAGCCTAAAAAATTCACAACAACCCAACGATTCCGGCCATGAAAGCCTGCGACAATACAGAGGAAATGAATATGGAAAGGGTATAAAAAGACTAGTCGCTGAGCTACCGAAAACAACATCTACATTGTAGAATTAATCCGGTTTGACAGTTCTTTAATTGTCATGGATCTTGCAGCTACAGAGACTTTGTGTGCCAGTGAGTGCTGATGCCTCACCAAACGCTCATTTTTAGTGGGTTGTTGTAGGTTTTGTTCGGGCTATATGGCCATGTTCTAGTGGCATTCTCTCCTGACGTTTCGCCTGAATCTATGGCAAGCATCCTCGGAGGTTGTGAGTCATTTTTAGGCTTCCAGAGTCCTAAATGAATCGGGATAGCCAAGTTTCTAAGAAAGTGCCTTTTTTGCTAGCCCTGTCGTCCTAAAATCCACCTGCAAAATGGATCAGATTCAAACAGGTGTTTCAAATATTGCTGGTGTGGACAATTTGAAGCCCCTGGTGCCTCTCAACTAGCTTTTCCACACTGGAATGAAGTCTCTTCCAGGATGGTGGCGGTTTGAAGTTGATATTGTAAAGTCTGGCGGGTTACAACACACGTCTGGAATGCCGCCCGGCTCTGTTTTAGGTTTCAACATCTTTTCTCAATGCAGGGAAACCCCTTTTTTTCTTCTGCTCCAGCCATGTTTAGTCTATTTCTTTTCCCATTCGTTAGACAGGCTCAGCCTAAAGAATGTTAGCAGACTATTTAGAACTAGACGTCCACCGCCAGGCGTTGCTGTGGCCCAGTCTGGTGATCTGGAAAATAAGGTATATATTCTAATATGTGTAATTTCTTTATACTTGTGGGCAAACAGCATTTCTTGTTGTTTCTTTGTCAGTGTTGATGTGGAGATTGTCTAGTTTGCCTATTCTGGAACATACAACACATAATTGTCCTTCTTTAGGGGTCCCTTTCAAATCTCTCTGTGTGTGAATCATACATTATCTATATCTATGGCTGGATGGCTCTTTGTTAGGAGGGCTTTGATTACGTTTTCTTGCCCTGGTGAAGGGAGTTGGACTGGGTGACCTTAAGTATTTTCTGTTGGTCATGGGGGTCCAGTGTGGGAGGTTTGCCCCAATTCTGTTGTTGGTCCTCCTCCTCCTCCTCTTCTTTCTCCTCCTCCTCCTCCTCCTCCTCCTCCTCCTCCTCCTCCTCTTCCTCCTCCTCCTCCTCCTCCTCCTCTCCTCCTCTTCCTCCTCCTCTTCCTCCTCCTCCTCCTCTTCTTCCTCTTCTCCTCCTCCTCCTCCTCTTCTTCCTCCCTCCTCCTCTTCCTCTCCTCTTCCTCCTCCTTCCTCTTCCCTCCTCTTCCTCTCCTCCTCCTCTTCTCTTCCTCCTCCTCCTCTTCCTCCTCCTCCTCCCTCTTCCTCTTCCTCCTCTTCTTCCTCTTCTTCCTCTCCTCCTCCTCTTCCTCCTCCTCCTCCTCCCTCTTCCTCCCTCTTCCTCTCCTCCTCCTCTTCCTTCCTCCTCTCCTCCTCTCTCCTCCTCCTCCTCCTTCCTCCTCTTCCTCCTCCTCTCCTCCTCCTCCTCTTCCTCTCTCTTCCTCCTCTTCCTCTCTCCTCCTCCTCTTCCTCTTCCTCCTCCTCTTCCTCCTCCTCCTCTCCTCCTCTCTTCCTCCTTCTCCTCCTCTCCTCTTCTTCCTCTTCTCTCCTCCTCCTCCTCCTCTTCTTCCTCCACCTCTTCCTCGTCTTCCTCCTCCTCCTCTTCTTCTTCCTCCTCCTCCTCTTCCTCGTCATCCTCCTCCTCCTTCAATTTAGGTCCCTTATAAGGTAAAG